GTAGGTCAAAGAAGAAGAAGAAAAACGAAGAAAGAAGAGATTCGTGCACGTGGGTGTCAGAGAGAGAAGAAAACAAGAAAGAGAGATCGTGCACATGGTGTATATATATATATATATTTGTTGCAAGATTGGTGTTTTAATAATCGAAGTAAGGGTACAGTTTGTATAAGGTGTCAACCTTATACAACAAAGGAGGCGCACCTCCCAACTTTATTAGAAGATGTACTTTCGGTGTCAGAAATTCATAGGATAGCTAAAAAATCTATTTTCAAATCTAAATATAAAATTTAAAACTTCAAAAATGGTGCAAAGCTAGTAGATTTATAAACACTTGAAAATCTTGAACGTGGATAGTTCAGATAATATGTTACAAGCTGTATTATTTTAAGAATTTGAAATAAATTTTTTTTTTTTCTCATATTCATAATTATAGAGATTGAGATGATCAATTAGAGGATTCTTCAGAATCAGAATAACCTTTATTGATGGGGTTTTAGAGACACGCCTCACTATCCGCGGCATAAGGTTGATACTTTATATATACTTTTCCCTTGAAATAAATCTTCTATTTATATTGTTTTTTAAAATGAAAATCTGATTTGGGGTAGAGATGGTCAATTTTGGATATGTAGCCTCATGTTGTGGTGCTTATATCAATTTATTAATGCAATCATGCATTAATTAGAGCCGGCATCGGGCTGGTCCTAGGCTGGGCCATCCTAGGCCCAAGCCCAACTTCGCTCACCTGAGGGCTGGCCCAAGCTTGTCCCCACCTAGACTGGCCAAGGAAGCTCTGGCTAATAAAATTCTAAAAAGGAAAAAAACAAAGGAAAAGAAGGGCTGCGCAGGATTGGGCTTGCCCCAAGCCTAGGCTCAGGCGCTTCGAGCCTACATGCCATGTTGCCCCGACCTCGCTCTCGAGCCACATTTCATGGTGATGGCTCTAATTTTCCAGGGTCGGGCCGAGCCATCTGGCCCATTACAGCCGTTAGCCTTAATAGCTTAAAAAAAGAATATCATCCTTCGAAAACGTGCTCGTCCTTGAGAACCAATGCCCTATGTTACCGCGACGTTCCTAAGGTTCGGCATCCAATGTTATTTTGACTATTCTTTATAGACCTTGAGACTATTTGTTTGTGGTACGAGGAGGTCACAATGACTTTTAACTATTAAATATCGCATCTAATAGATGAAAATGTCATATAATATTCGAGAAATTTTGTTTTAGACTCTGTCCCTAAACAATGACACATCCTTAACTTTTTGATATCAAATTTAACAATAAATGACGTTGGTAACCTTTTTTATAAAAAGTAAATATTTTCATTATATATATTTCTTAATAATATATATTTTTATAAATCATAAAATAAATATTAAATTTTAAAAATTACATATTCTGTCATAGTTAAGATCTAACAGAATTTAATAGAAAGAAACTAATTTTAGAAAATTTGTCAAAATACTTTTAAGGGATAAGTATTTAACATGGCTCAATTTCACACGGAAGACTATGTGTTTTTTAATGGGTATTTTTAAATTAGATGAAGTTTTTATAGGGCCTAAGTTTTATGAAAACAAAATAAAGCCTCACCTCAAATATTCATCTGAAAAGCACTTTAAGCATAAAAAATCTTCATGATGGCTCTAAAATCAATTTTAAATGTCGACAATAAATTTTGAAACTAAAAAAATAGTATAGATCTTACAGATTTATGAACACTTTTTTTAAAGGTTAAATGGATGATCTAGATGATTTGTTGCAATATATACTATTTTTAAAATTTGAAATTCTAATGTTTTTTTACGATCATAATGTTCAAGCTAAGATAATCGATTTAAAGGTTTTTCAACACTTCATTTGCAATTTTTGATGAGTTATGAGGTGAGCTTTTACTTATTTTGATAGGACAGCTAACTATTTTCCTTTAAAATTATAAAATATCAAATTATTCATGTAAATGATTTAATACCTTTCAATAATCTACAATTAAGAATTTAATTATATAGAGGTATCAGAAGAATACTCGAAATTTTAACCCATATACTGACACTCCAAAACGTACCTGGACGCCAATGGTCCAATACCCATGTCGGTGCCCATTTCCACAAACTAAAAAAAATCAACCACTTTTCCACATGAAAAAACACGAATCAACAAATTTTCTACATAAAAAAATAAAAATAAAACTAGGACTTTTCTATCATTAATGGAAAGAATAAGGGTTATTTTAGTAAAAACGCCATGCGAATATTTTCATGGTGAAGAATTCACGCCACTCGATTTGTCTCTCATCATATTCGTCCTCCCGCAGTCTTCCTCCACTTCCCGAAATACACACTTTCTCTCTCTAACCTCTTTCTCTCTCTATCTTTCTTTTGTTCGCCTCTGTCTTTACTCTCTCTCTCTCTCTCTCTCTCTCTCTCTCCG